CCCCCCCCCCCCTCCTTTTTCTGTTGTGATTATTGGATGATTTAACAACGTCAAGTGAAGATGTTTTTATTTTCCTTGCATGCATCTATGTTCTTGTCAATGATTACTGAACAATATTTTCCAAACCGGACCAGCCGTGCTGGTTCAAGTAGAATATCTTGCTCTGGCCATACATAATCAGCATATCTAATATGCACTTTCTACAAGTAAAGGGAGTTCAAATTTATATTGGTTGTGCTCGAATTTATAAGAATTTTGAATCGTCTTGATTTTCATTAATATTTCACATAAGAATCTCCATAAAATGAGCTATTTTTAGAGCTTTTCGATGTAAATTGAATGTGGAATTGGTCTATATATATTTTTTCTTTCCGTTCACTGGGATTTCTCTGTTTTATCAATTTGTTCACAGTCATTTACTTCCCAAAAGAGGGAAGAAAATCAGATTGATTTTTCCGAAAAAATACTGTAAAATTCGATTATTTAATTAATACAGAATCTATTTAAAAATTCATTTTAAGTATGTGTGTAAATCCAATAAAATTTCAAAAATAAGATTTTAAAATATATTTAGCACGTTGTCGCAAAATTATGGTTGCCCAAATTAAGAAGAAACAAAGCGTCCAAATTCAAAGTCAAAACGAGTTAACGTGTGCAATATTGCCAACTTTGCATGCGTGCCCCACTTTGTTAGTTATGGTATTCCTTAACGTAAGACAAATGAACAGAGAATAGAATAATTTTCTTTGCTTCGAAATTTTGAACTTTTGAGGAAAAAAAACTTGGCAACTTGAGGCAGAAACCGAATTTGCGATTATTCTAACACCAAATAGTTGTCTGTCTACCTGGGATTTCTTTTGCCTAGGACAAGATCAAGAAGCTAAGGACGCCTTTGTCTAAACACCTAAACTAAATTTAACTTGTAGTAGAAGAAATTGTTTAAGAATATTCTTGTTCTTCCCATGCATTCATCTCTTCCTCTATTTATATATACCATCATGTATACATACATACGAATCGTATGCAATAATCCGAAACAAAGATAGAATTTATACAGAAATGGCAAGTTCGAGTTCGAATTCGAGTTTGTATAGTGAAAGAGTTGCGGAGATCGTGTTTTTTGATTTAGAAACTACAGTACCGAACAGAACTGGACAGAAGTTCAGGGTATTGGAGTTCGGCGCGATCATTGTTTGTCCTCGGAAGCTCGTGGAGCTCGAGAGCTATTGCACGCTAATTAGGCCTCGGGACTTATCTGCTGTCGCGTCAAGGTCAGCCCGATGCGATGGAATAACACGTGATTCAGTTGCCAATGCGCCGTATTTTGAGGAAGTTTCGGACAAGATTTTCAGCATTTTGAATGGTAGAATTTGGGCAGGTCATAACATTCAAAGATTTGATTGTGTTCGTATTAGGGAGGCCTTTGCTGAGATTGGTAGGCCTGCACCAGTCCCTGTTGGGATCATTGATTCATTGGGAGTCTTGACTGAGAAATTTGGTAAAAGAGCTGGAAATATGAAGGTTAGTGAATCATAACGTCAAATATCTTTGTTCGTTAAAGCTCGACTATACAATATAGAATAGTATTAAAATGAATATGAAGAATAAGATCTCAATTCGAGCGACAATTTCATTGGATACCTTACTATTAGAATCCCACTTTTTTTCGCCAGATGTGTCTTTTATTATATTAATATAATAAATTTTAACGGGATGAATATGCCATTGTCTTTTCCCCTATTTCTATAGATGGCATCATTGGCAGCTTACTTTGGTCTTGGCCAGCAAAAACATAGGTAAAAAATTTATGAATGATATTTAAAATATAAGATGATGACAATTTATAAAAATGCTAACATAATTTCTTTTTATTTTTTTTAGGAGTTTGGAGGATGTAAGAATGAATTTGGATGTCTTGAAGCATTGTGCAACTGTCCTATTCTTGGTATTGGTCACATATATTCAATATGATTTTTCACGACAATAAAATTATCGAAAACATAACGGTTTAATATTCGTGACACTCGATTCCATGACATTTGTTAACCATTGTAAAAAAAACCCGATTACCGTGTCGTGATTAATATGGGTTCTTATGCTAGGAATCAAGCCTCCCAAGTGCTTTGAATACAGAATGGCACAACAATCTGGGTGTAACAACAAGAAGCAAAAGTCTACAGGTTTGTGTGTGTATATATATATAATTAACTAGAAATTTTGCTTAGGATTTTGTAAATATATTCAATTTTAACTGGACAGAAGTTCAGGGTATTGGAGTTCGGCGCGATCATTGTTTGTCCTCGGAAACTCGTGGAGCTCGAGAGCTACTGCACGCTAATTAGGCCTCGGGACTTATCTGCTGTCGCGCCAAGGTCAGCCCGATGCGATGGAATAACACGTGACGCGGTTGCCAATGCGCCGTATTTTGAGGAAGTTTCGGACAAGATTTTCAGCATTTTGAATGGCAGAATTTGGGCAGGTCATAACATTCAAAGATTTGATTGTGTTCGTATTAGGGAGGCCTTTGCTGAGATTGGTAGGCCTGCACCAGTCCCTGTTGGGATAATTGATTCATTGGGAGTCTTGACTGAGAAATTTGGTAAAAGAGCTGGAAATATGAAGGTTAGTGAATCAAAACCTCAAATATCTTTGTTCGTTAAAGCTCGACTATACAATATAGAATAGTATTAAAATGAATATGAAGAATAAGATCTCAATTCGAGCGATAGTTTCATTGGATACCTTACTATTAGAATCCCACTTTTTTCGACAGATGTGTCTTTTATTATATTAATATAATAAATTTTATCGGGATGAATATGCCATTGTCTTTTCCCCTATTTCTATAGATGGCATCATTGGCAGCTTACTTTGGTCTTGGCCAGCAAAAACATAGGTAAAAAATTTATGAATGATATTTAAAATATAATATGATGACAATTTATAAAATGCTAACATAATTTCTTTTTATTATTTTTAGGAGTTTGGAGGATGTAAGAATGAATTTGGACGTCTTGAAGCATTGTGCAACTGTCCTATTCTTGGTATTGGTCACATATATTCAATATGATTTTTCACGACAATAAAATTATCGATAACATGACGGTTTAATATTCCTGACACTCGATTCCACGACAGTTAACCATAGTAAAAAAGCTCGATTACCGTGTAGTGATTAATATGGGTTCTTATGCTAGGAATCAAGCCTCCCAAGTGCTTTGAATACAGAATGGCACAACAATCTGGGCGTAACAACAAGAAGCAAAAGTCTACAGGTTTGTGTGTGTATATATATATAATTAACTAGAAATTTTGCTTAAGATTTTGTAAATATATTCAATTTTAACTGGGTGTAACAACAAGAAGCAAAAGTCTACAGGTTTGTGTGTGTATATATATATAATTAACTAGAAATTTTGCTTATGATTTAGTAAATATATTCAATTTTAGTTTGATAATAACTTATACCTAACATCTGAATTTCTAAATATTGGCAGCAATCTAGCCTCCACTGGAACAAATCTTCAGAATTTACAGGTAGATTTAGTATAGGGAAATCGATATGCAGAGAAGAAACTAGCCGAAAATCACCTCCATCGTCACCTATTTCGAATAAAAGAGCTGTTCCATATGGAAGGGGAAGTCTCGGAAAGGTATGTAATAATTTCTCCGAGTCGAGGACTAATACTTTTCATTTCCCATCTCATGAAAGACAATACCCTTTTTCTATCTTTCATTTTCTTTTCATTTGTTTTGAGAATTTTTTGAAAATTTACATGTTGGCTGTTTGAATGACAGATGACAGTAGGAGTAAAGAAGCTATTATATGCTAGAAGAGCACCTATCAACAATTTGCTGAAGAATTCTCAATCACTTCTTATATGAAAATAAGTACTTATGAAAATTATTTATTTCTGCTTATAATTGGTCCAAGGGAAAGATTGTAAAAATTTGAACTCAACAAAGAGCTTTTGTTGTGATTTGGGAGTTCAATTTTTCCAGAATTAATGAAGCTGGGATCATCTTGTACATATTGTACATAACTAACAGCATTCTTTCAATTCTTAATATTTATTGTTGTTTATAATACTGGTGGTTGTTATATTCATTTTCTTTTTTTGAATATTTCATTTTCGAGTTGTGGTACGATAAATTTTTTTTTTTTTTTTAAATTTCAAAATTTAAAATTGATGGCTATTTGCAATAGCTTGGCGAATTTTAAAAGTGAAACAAGTGTTTTGTTTTAGCAAAATACATAAAACATTAAGCCCCCGCTTGGTACAAATTAAAATCTAATGTTAATCTCAAGTCAAAATCAATAATTAATTTTAACCATTCATTTCATGGGATCCACAACTTTTCAACCACGCATTCCATCAATATTTATCAAAATCTACTAAAAACCTGTTTTTAATGTACAACAAACAGGGGCTAAATTTGATAACTCGTTGTCTCGAAATGTTGCAATGATTAATTGTTGATGTGACCAAAAATTTTATATAAGGAGACTCGTGCAGGTACATCAAAGCTTATGTGATATAAGCTTATGAGTAATATTAAATTTAATTTAATTTTCAACTGTTTTATAATATTATTCATTTATATCAATTATAATGTGTAACCTACCAAACAAGTTGGACTCGAAGATTATAAAGAAAATAGAAAAAACTTATACACTATTCGAACTTCATTGTACATTCTAAACAAGTTTAAAAAAAAATTGGGCATCCCCAACAAGTGTCCTTGGTATGATATAATTCTCAAATGTTGTCATGTTATGAGTACATAAACAAATCATGTCTAAAGTTTGGTCAACAAAAATATGTGAGAGAAAGCGAAAAGAAAAATGAAAATTAGAAATCGACCCACGAGTTGGAAAGCGTCATCACTACCGTATTCTCGTGTTTTCATTTCATGTATATTCCATTTCTCTATCTCCTTCACTAATAACCCAATATCATTTTTATCTTCATCGTAAGCAATTTTTTTTTTTTTTTTTTTTTGTTGAACATGCAACGTACCATTAGTAATTCACTACTTAAGAAATAATAATTAATGGATTTTTAACTAAAGTATATGAGTGTTTTCAACTAATCATTCATTTATTTCCTAGTGGCTTAATAGTTTCGGTATTTGTCTAATTGTCTTACATAAGTTAGAATTTTGTTTTTATAGAGTTCCCGTGAAGTGTGTCAAGAAAACTTAAATGAATATGAGAATCGATGCCTTTGTAGATTTATAACTTTTTGAGAAAATTATTTAACAAGGATCAAATTGGAGGAAAGAACCAAAAAGAGTGAAATTCTTTTCATGAATAAACTTAATTTAATCAAATTTTCTACTATATTCTTAGTTTTGGTTTCTTAACGTCGTTCGTTTCACGTCTTTTCCTTAAAGACTTGTCCAAAATTCATGTGTTGAACTGATTTGACACCAAGTGAGCTACACCTTCGAGGATTATATTATTTTTACCTCGAAAGTTATTTGATTTGTTATCGCTACCAGAAACTCTTTTTAAAAAGTCATTATTAAGTTTTCTTGACATCAATTTCAAGATACGATCCTACCCCTAGTAGCTGCTACTGGATGGCCCCTTTGTTTCGAAGCACTTCTAGAAACACATGCTTAAGATCTAACCTAATCTTTTAAACTTTTTTTTTTCATTTCAATTTAAAATTTGAAATAAAAACATTCTTCTTTTGTGAAGAAAGTTAAGCAAAATGTCCAAAAAAGTCAACTTCGTATCTCATTACAATTTGTTTGCAAAATGTACGAAACAATTGCGTTGTTTTTCGTATTATTAATGTGATTGCTAACTATGATTTTTTACATATTTTCCTACTTTCCAAAAAACCCTTGTGAAGTGAAATAATAATCATAATAATAATAATAGCTGTACAATTTATTTTATAGTTTACTATATGATCGTTTTTCAACTACACATTCACACAATAAAATATTTTATACGTATATCACAAAAATTTTCCTACTCTTTATTCACACACACTCTTAAAAATACTACGTCAAAATACGACATCAAAATTATCACAATTTTTTATATATTTTCCTACTTTCCGAAAAAACCCTTGTGATCTGACTTAGAACACAACCCAAATACGACGTCAAAATTATCACAATATTTTTTTTTTTTTTAGTAAAGGTTGAGTCCACCAAAAAAAGGAAGAAGAAAGGTCCAGATCGACCGTCTCTATTTCCCTCTCATCTTGCATGTCACATCAATCAAAATTTCATTGGGACATATTTTTTTATATTTTTCTTAAAAGCTGAAAGTTCTAGCTAAATTTTGACATTGTAAATTTGTAAAAATAATACTACTTATACATAAATAATGAATTACATAAAGATAGGTGTTAAAAAGAGGGTATTTTTTTTAAAAAAAAAATTGGTCGAAGAAATTTTGATACAATTATATATCACCAAATCATGTGTATGTAAATTATTATGTAAACATATTATGTACATATTGCACAATCGAATTTATAATTATGTGTAAATTTCACTGGTAAGAAAATCGAGGAGATACGAGAATACATGTGAGGGTTCCACAACATGCCAATGAATCAAAATTTCAAAATGGGAATTATTACAAAGATTTCCTAATCAACTAATTTGCTCTCCTCATCACCTCAATCTTTTCTTGTCATTTGATTATCATTAGAGTCTCTTCAAATTATCTTCATTTTGGTTATTTCTTCCTCTCTTTTTCCTTCTTGAAACCCCTACGAAATCCAAGGCTATGTTCAATTGACGTTTCACATTCACAAACTTAC